ATAGAAAATTTGAAACAATCTATTTGATTAAAACACGTATTATATAATATTATTATGTTTGAAAAACATTTACTATACATATCGTAAATATGTGATTACTATAATATATACCAATTTACAAGTGAAAACAAAATGTTTATATAACTAACTATAAACGAAAACAAACACCCGCGCGGTTGCGCGGGTCAAAATCTAGTTAACTTTTAAAGTAGAAAATTAATAGTGGTGGGAGTAAAGGAAAGAGAATAACTTCAATTAGGGTAATTCTCTTTTTTTTTTAAAAAAAAAAAATGTCACAAAAAAGTTCTTGAAATAAAAAATGGCAAAATATGTTTTTTTTTTTATAATTTCGAAATATATGTTTTCAAATTCAATATTTTTATAAAAAAATCAAAATTTTCTTTTCAAATAATTTTTTTTTAGTTTTCTTTTTTTCAAACTCAAAAATAATTTTTAAAAATATTTAATAAATTTTATTTAAACTTTAAAATTTTCAATATTATTTTTTAATATTAATTTTCTATGTATTGTTGTGATTTGTATTATGCTAAAGTAGTGATTTTTATGATTTCATTCTTCAATTTTGTGTGTTTTTGTATGTGGGTTTATTTTATTACATAGATTTCAAACTCTTATGAGTATAGGTGATATTCTCAAAGTTGAGTAAAGTTGAGTCTTATGAGTAAAAACAAAGAAAATTTACATTCCAATAACAATAGATTTTAATGGAATCTTAAAATCAATGACAACTAAAATTTTTCAATAACAAAGATTTTGAGTGAAATTTAAAAGTTATCATCCCAATAACAATGGATTCTACTTAGATTTTAAAATTCCATAAACCAATAAAAATGGAATCTCAAAATTTAATAACTCCTTTAGAATTCTTCTGCCAATAACCCCCCCTAAAATCTCAAAATTTGGTTCGGTTCGGATAATTTTGGATTCGGTTCGGTTCGGATAGTAAAACTACGAATCAAAAAGTACTTAGAAAATCCGGTTCTCATTTAGTTCTGGTTCAGGTTCGAGTGGTTCGAATAAATTATCAGCTATTTAGGATAAAATATCTAATAATTAGAACGGTTTAGATACAAAATTTAGATATTTTGGATTACTTTGGATATTTGGATAAAATTATCTGTATACTTTCATGTATTTTGGATACTATTAGGGACAAAGGTCCCACATCGGTTGTTGGAAAGGATCTCTAGCAATATATAAGACAGATAGACCACTCCACTTATTACCAATTGGTTTTAAGTTGGAAGCCCATCCACCTTAATATGGTATCAGAGCCCATGATCCACCCAGTCCAACCCGATACTTATCGATCCAGCCCAAAGTCGGCCCATCGATCCTTGCCCGAACATTCTGAGATTGATGCCAAAGAACCATCATCTCGAGGGGGCGTATTAGGGACAAAGTCCCACATCGGAAGTTGGAAGGAATTTTATCTAATATATATATAGATGGACCACTCCACTTATCACCAATTGGTTTTAAGTTGGAAGCCTATCTATCTTAATATGGTATCAAAGCCCATGATCCACGCAGTCCAACCCGATCCTTATCGATCCAGCCCAAAGTCGGCCCATCGATCCTTGCCCGAATATTCCGAGATTAATGCCAGAGAGCCATCATCTCGAGGGGCGTATTAGGGACTAAAGTCCCACATCGGTTGTTGGAAAGGATCTCTAGCAATATATAAGATAGATGGACCACTCCACTTATCACCAATTGGTTTTAAGTTGGAAGCCCATCCACCTTAATATGGTATCAGAGCACGAACTTATAATTATATTTAGTTATCTTCAACTATTTTTTGATACTTCTAATAGATTTTTAAATTAAAATCATATATTTATTTATGTTGTATGTATATAAAACTAATATTATTATATTTGAGTACCCATTCGATTCTCGGTTCGGTTCCAGTTCGTTTCGGTTATTTCGGATATATAAATATAAAAACCATTCGGATATTTAAGGATTTCGGTTTGGTTCCAGTTTTGGAGTTTCGGATATTTTGGTTTGGTTCCGGTTTGATTCTTCGGTTCCGATTTTTCTTGTTCAGGCAGACTAGAAACAAAGGCTTCCCAAAATACAACCCACGTAATATATGTCCAAAAATAGTCACTTGCTTTCCACTTTCAAGTCATACCAAAATACATTATGTAATCACTTGGCCACCTTGCGACATCTTTGACTAAGGAACTTGCCAACATGGTTCCCAGTGTCTACTCCAAAGTTCCTAATTCTTGCTTGGATTGCTGTTTATGAATTATAACAGATTAGCTACTGCCTACTGGAGATCGCATAATTCGCTAGGATCAAAACGCTGATGTTGGTTGCGTGCTCAGCACTGCTCCTTTAGAATCCAGAGATTATATGTTTTTCAAATACTCTTACTCGGAAGAAATTTGAGCAAACTTAACACGAAACCTCCTGTGAAATCAGTACACAAAACACAAATGACTGGTGTGATGTGGTAGCTTTGGTGGAAGGAAAATTTTGAGTGTAAACAATCACATTCCTCATTAGGTATGTGTTTTAAGAAGTGATCCAGGCTATGTGATAGTAAAGAAATGGTAGAAGACATGGGGAACCTTTTCAGGATCCAACGAGACTCATACGTTCGGAATCGAATAGACTCTCTCCGTGGTTAAGGGCAAAGAAAATACGACACATCGATGATGGTTGGTTAGCTCGAGTCAAGATGGAGAGATACATTAATTTCCCAAAAAATTTAAACACTACAAAAGAGTGTTACAGTTGCTTTCTTTTTATTTAAATAAATTTTATATTATATTATTTCTAAGATTTTTTTTTTGGTCAAAAGATTCTTTCAAAGATAAATAAAAAAGAGAAATTAGGATCCACACCAACGAAGTTTGGCATATTTAACAATCTACCAAATTCAACTATTTCCCGGATGAGCGTGATGTGTTTTGACTTTGTTACCCCTACCCCCATTGTCATGTAGACTACAGTCACGTATAGGCAAAATCTTGCTAAATGTTTTGATAAAATCTTATCCTTTGTTCACTATATTTTTTATGGCAGATATTACAGATTCAAAGAACTATTACAATACTTTTTATTTTAATATCGGTTCATCTCTTCCTCTCTCATCTCTCCCACTAAACTCTTTGAAACTCAAATCCATTTTCTTAACAATCCCGAGTATACAATTGCTTATCATTGAAATGGAAGGTAATGATGAGTTAGTAGCACCATGTCAAAACCCACATGTTATTTTTCTAGCACTTCATTTTTTTTGTTTTGGTCAATGTTGTGACAAAAAAAAAAAAAAAAAAGGTCAATGTTGTTGTGCAGGAAAGGAAAAAATGTTACAACAAAGGGGTGAGAAGCTCCATCAGTTAACTGATAAAAATCAAGCTCTGGTGGTTCAGTGAAATCTCAATGTCACCACCTCCGATGCAACTCCGGTAAGCTCTCAGCCGCTACTCTCGGTGAAGCTCTAGGCCGCTACGTCTCTGGTTGAACTCTTCGCCTCTTGGTCTCTGATGAAGCTCCCAGCCGCTGCGTCTCCGGTGAAGTTATCTACCGCTGCATCTCCGGTGAGGCTCTCAACTGCTGTGTAATGATGATTAAGAGATCACTCTGTTGCTTATTGCAACAAACGTATTTGTTAAAAACACAAAGTTAAATTAATTTGTAGCAGGTTAATCATATATATTTCTTGTTAAACTATTTTATATCCCATCAAATAACTATTGTGGATACAACAAAAGTGTACTTGTAACTTGTCACTAGTATGGATAACCGGCTAAACAATGTGTTATCCCTAGACTACTAACATTTCTAATATCTAATTTATATGATGTTTGCTAAATTTAATATTATACTGCTAAACTATTTTATATCTCGACAAACAACTATTGTGGATACAACAAAAGTGTACTTGTAACTTGTCACTAGTATGGATAACCGGCTAAACAATGTGTTATTCCTAGACTGCTAACATTTCTAATATGATGTTTGCTTAATTCAATATTAGACTGCTAACATTTCTAATATCTAATAACAAATTTTGTAACATCAAATGTAATGTTTAGTTGTTACAATAAAATGCGATTAATATGTTCAGTTGCATAAAACAATCGAAAATATATTAACTTTTTCATCTTCAAAAAATTGACTCAACGTTGTTTCTCTTCATTTTCTACTTTGTGACAACCTTAAGTAAAGCTAGCGTTGGTGATACTGAGTCAATGTTAGATGTTTAACCTTTATTGTTGTGAAGTAATATTATTTTTAGCTGGGTTTTGTACAAATTATTTTTTACACTTTAGTTTGTACACGTTGACAAAATAACTAGTAACTCTGTAATAACTTGTTATTATCATATTTGCATGGCCAATAGTACTGATAACCGTCCAATGAAAATTTTAGACATAAGTGTGTCCATATTAGCTAGACAACTTACTAAACAAACATAGACCAGTCTAGTCTACTTAGATTGGTCATTGCTTTAGGGTTTAGGGTGATGTCTTTAACACAATTGTTTATCGTTCACCCTTCCGGTTTTGGATTTAGGGGTTTAGTTTGTAAGGCTAGGGCTTTAGGGTTTACAGTGAAGGGTTTAGGACTAAGGGTTTAGGTTTTGGATTTAGGGGTTGAGGGGTGAGAGATTAATTTTAGGGTTTAATTTGTATGGTTAAGGCCTAGGGTTTAGGGTTGTGGGGTGAGGGATTAGTTTTAGGGTTTAAAATTTTTGGTTCATGATTTAGGCTTTAAGATAAACAGCTCTTAAACTTTACAGATACCACAATAGTGGAAAAGATAATTGAACATTTTACATGTCCGGTTAATGATAATAGCTTGCCATTATTGTTTTTGCATAGCTAAAATTTCTATTAACATTTAGTAGATTTTTTGATGTATAAGGTAGCCATATATTTTCATTGAACTAAACGTTGTTGGCTCGAACTACTATACAATTATAGTTTGGTATTATCATATTTGCATGGCCACTAGTACCGATAACCGTCCAATGAAAGTTGTAGACATAAGTGTGTCCTTGTTAGCTAGATAACTTACTGAACCAACATGGACCTTTTTAGTATACCTAATCGGGTCTTAAATTTCACGGATCACAATAGTGGAGAAAATAATTGAAACATTTGACATTATTATTTTTGTATATTTACACATTTGTTGTAAAGAGAGGAAGCAAATCTTTGTGTTTGATTTATTTTTGGCATGTGTTTTTGAGCCAGAGAATATGTGGACAGGAACTAATCTGAAGTTGGTACTGTTTCTATTTTCTTTACCGATGCAATCTGATAATATCCTCCAATATCTACACAATATCTCCACATAATCTCAGCAAAGTCTAATTAATTTTATTACACCTATAAATCCTATACACCAAAACTCGACAAAAGTTGATTGTGCAAGTTGGAAGGGCTGTTTTCGTCATTAACCAATGCCCATTACTATACAACTTTTCTTTTTATCCACTGTTATGGGTACAACTTTAATTTGAGTCGTTTTCATCGTTTTTCACCCAATTTGCTCAATGAAAAACTAGCAAACATACACTCTAAGAAAGAGATAGTAATTAGTGATAATACGGTGAGAGCTTTTTTTTTTTTTTTTTTTTGACAAACCTCAAATTTATAGATTCTTACTCTCCATTAAAGGAGAAAGTTTTCACATAACATGATAACAAAGTCATCCTGGCCACAGAAACCACCATTACAATGAAGCAAAGAGAACAATGGTTAGAAGCCTACAAAACACTTAAACAACTGATGGAGTGGAGAGGTCCTCTAGTCTCAACAGCCAAGCTGCAAAGTGAAATGAAGCCTTGAGAATTAGAGACCACATTCAGTGATATAATTCCTGAGATTGAAACAGCAGCAAGTGCACAATTAACAATCCTTGAATGGCTACACACACATAGGCGACTGAACACCATTTTGGTGAGCCTTTGATTAAAACTTCAATAACTGAAGTATCTCCAATCTTAAACATTTTACATCCTGAAACAAAACTACTTAAAGTAGATGATGAAATTGGAAGGGGAACAAACTCCATAGAGTAGGAAAACGGACAGTGAATGTCACTGGTGCTCGATCTAGTGGTATTTTTATGGGGATTCTATCTATCGCTGTAGGATTCCTATTCAAGATCACTGCAGTTCATTTTTCGGGCGGCTGTAGGTTGACAAGCAAGATCCGAAGATTTGACATGTCTGATATAACTCCATCAAGCTGCCACGACATAGCATAAAGGTACTTGGATATAACAAAGGCAGAACTACATAACGCAGTAAAGAGACTGCATACTGCAGTAAATGGTCTCACCAAGGCGACAGACTGCATACTGCAAATAATGTGGTGGGAGCCTATAATGGAAGAATTGATCTTTACTCTCATCAACATTAGCTTTATGTCATAAACGCAATGATTTCCTAAAATATGATAACACCGAACATATGAAAATCCACTATAAATAGAGAATAACTGAAAGCAAGCTTCCTTATTACACACGACAATGTCTATAGGTCTTTGCCCTGATATTTTTTAAGTCATCCACTGGGAATCTTCATAAACTCAACGGATCGAGGAAGAAGAGTGCAGATTAGGGGATGAGCCATGGTCAAGGAAAATCCTTCAAGAGTCTCTTCCATGCTAACAGTTTTATCTCCACTGATTATCCAGTCAAAACACTGCACCAACATTCCAACTAATATATATCCAATATTTTCTCCAGGACAGCCTCTCCTTCCGCTGCCAAAAGGAAGAAACTTAAGGACTTTCTCTCTTTCTTCTTCTTGCTCAGAACTTGAAGAAGCAAGAAACCTCTCTGGCTTAAACTCATCAGGATCTTGCCAGAAACTAGGATCTCTCATAATAGCGTAAGCGTTTACAACAAGTGTTGTCTTCTCCGGTATGGAAAACCCTCCAACCTTACATTCTTCTTGGAACATCCTTATCAAAAGAGGCCCCGGTGGGTGCAATCTTAGTGTTTCCTTAACCACCGCTTGTAAATAAGGAAGTCTTGGTAGATCCGTTTCTTGAATCAGCCTTGTTTTCCCTACAACAGAGTCCATTTCTTGCCTCAACCTCTCAAGAATATTTGGTTTGCTGATGATCTCAGCCATTGCCCACTTCATTAACCGAGCAGCCGTGTCAGTTCCTGCAAGGAAAAGCTCCTGAAAGTGCAGACACAAAGTTTTCTTAGTCGTGATTAAATAAGTTATTAGTAATCTAAGAGTTTTAGCCATTAGGTCAACACTTCGTTGGTTGAGCGATTGATGTTTAGTTTTTTTTTATACTTTCTCTGAAAATAAACAATTACCGTGATCAACGACTTCATGTGGTTTCTAGTGATCTTATACTCTGCGTTTTCATCTCTAGAAACTGCCAATAAAACATCCATCATGTCTGTAACACTATGTTTCTCTTCGTGTTCCAGGAGAAGCCTCTCTAACAGCTCATCGAATCCACTGGAGACGCCTCGAATCTCCTTTTCGAAGAGTGAGATGCCAAGCTTCTTAAGTGGCCTACCTATCTTGTCTGAAAAGAATATTTTCGTTAACAAGCCAATTGTCTTGATCACCGACTCCCTGACCTTCTCTGCCTCACCGTTCTCCTCAGAGTAACTCCTCCCGATGAGCAACTTGGAGAATATGTTGGTAGTAAGCACCATTGCTTCATTTCCTATTTCAACACTCTCTTTCTTTCTCGCCTTGTCGAGCAGTCTTGCGTGAAACCGCTCTAGCTCTTTTGCACGGATTCCTTGTGACCACTCCACTGCTTGAGTACCCATCAGATTCCTGACCAAGACCTTCTTCGTGAACTTGTAATAGTCTCCAAAGTCAGCGCCTACGAATGATTCAGGTCCCATAATGAAAGAATTCCCTAGTGTACGGAAACCACGTGATGAGATATTCACGTCGTGCGTCCTGAAGAGCTCGTAGGCCACGGAGGCCGAGGAGGTGAGGACTAGAGGGACTTTGAATATACGGAGGTGGAGGAGAGGTCCGTACCTAGATGAGATCTTCTGAAAAGACTTGTGTGGTAGAATAGAAAGGACAAGGTGAAGATGCCCGATGATTGGCAGAGAAGGAGGGCTTGGAGGCAAGTTAAAGCCATCTTTTGGTTTCTTGAAGAAGAGATTGTAGCAAAGGAGTGAGAAGAAGCATAGGAAGATCAAGATGAAGCAGTTTAGAAAGTCAACGGTGATCATTGCTGCTGCTATTGTTGCTCAATGGAATGCTAGCCCATTTTAAAGGATATATTATATAACGACACAGGTTTGTAATCAAATTACTTGAGTAAATAGTGTTCACTGTCTAAGGTGGCAGACAACTAAGGTTCCACATGAATCACGTGGATTAAACATTTCCATAAATTAGCATTTTATATTGTCACTAACCTTGTTAAATGCATAGTTTATAGTAGTAGATATAATGGACGAAGCACTGAGTTGCGCAAGGAATGGAGTCCCCGGCAAAGAGTGCTTGTCCCCACCTCCCTAGGCATATTGATGCAGCGCATCATAACAACTAAGCCATGTCTTAGATTAATTAAGGTTTACGCGCATGCTATAATAATTATGGGCTTCAATGTTGTTTTGGGCGTTTTACGTTTTAATTAGATTAAGGTTTTGTCGTGTCTTTTATTAAGTAGTTCGTTAGGTGTTATTGTAAAGCATTTTAAGTTTACTAAAAAGAACGTCTCCCGGATATTCTAAGAATCAATAGTATCCGCTACACCACATATACACAATCAATTGTACATACCTCGGTATCTTTGCTCAGAAATAGGGTTGATATCTTGATTCATATCGAGGATGAGATCATGCAGCTCCGAAACCAGGAATTGACACAGTGTGATGAAGTTAGATTATGGAAGGGTCTAGGTGATGTATTTAAGCCTCGGTTCAATACATCTCAAACATGGCATCAAAGTCCTCACTCGATAAGGACATCATCTCTTGTATATATACCTTTAATCTTTGATCAATACAAAGACGATTTACACCTTATTTCATGGTATCAGAGCAAGTTCGATTCTAACCTAAATTTTTTTCTTGTTCTAGCCGTCACTACTTCCGTGTTCATAATTGAACATGGTTACTACTTCTACAACTTATTCTTCTACTACCGGCGCTACAATGGAGAACTTACCAAATCCTCTTAATCCTTCTCTTTATTTACATCCTTTGGATAATCCTGGTGCACTTATTACACCGGTTCTTCTTCGAGGAGAAAACTACTCTGAATGGGCTACTGAGTCTTGGAACTCTCTTCTAAGCATAAAATAGGCTACTCAACATTAGCTTTTATGTCATAAACGCAATGATTTCCTAAAATATGATAACACCGAATATATGAAAATCCAAATAATAAACACATAATATATTTACATTGTAATTATGATATATTCTAAAATCTTCAAGATTTAGAACAACTGAAAGCAAGCTTCCTTATTACACACGACAATGCTTATAAGTATTTGCCGTGATATCTTTTAAGTCATCAACTGGGAATCTTCAGAAACTCAACGGATCAGTTCGAGGAAGAAGAGTGCAGATTGGGGGATGAGCCATGGTCAAGGACAATCCTTCAAGAGTCTCTTCCATGCTAACAGTTTTATCTCCACTGATTATCCAGTCAAAGCACTGCACCATCATTCCAACTCCGATTTCGACGAAGATATATCCAAGAGTTTCTCCAGGACATCCTCTCCTTCCGCTGCCAAAAGGAAGGAACTTAAGGACTTTCTCTCTTTCTTCTTCTTGCTCAGAACTCGAAGAAGCAAGAAACCTCTCTGGCTTAAACTCATCAGGATCTTGCCAGAAACTAGGATCTCTCATAACAGCATAAACGTTTATAATAAGTGTTGTCTTGTCCGGTATGTGAAACCCTCCAACCTTACATTCTTCTTCGAACATCCTTAACACAAGAGGCCCTGTTGGGTGCAATCTTAGTGTTTCCTTAACCACTGCTTGCAAATAAGGAAGTCTTGGTAGATCCGTTTCTTGCACCAACCTTTTCTTCCCTACCACATAATCTATTTCTTGCCTCAACCTCTCAAAAATATTTGGTTTGCTGATGATCTCAGCCATTGCCCAATTCGTTAACCGAGCAGCCGTGTCAGTTCCTGCAAGGTAAAGCTCCTGAAAGTGCAGACACAAAGTTTTTTTAGTCGTGATTAAATAAGTTTTTAGTAATCTAAGAGCATTATTATCTTTCTTAGGGCGGGGTTCTTAGGGGAATATAAAAAACTGCTTTTTTACTTTATAGGTTTCTTATAGTGCCCTAAGAACCCTGCCCTAAGAAACTCTGGATAATGATGCTCTAAAAATTTACTGATTGATGTTTAGGTTTTTTTTTGATAATTTCTCTGAAAAGAAACAATTACCACGATTATCGACTTGATATGTTTTCTAGTGATCTTATATTCTGCTTTTTCATCTCTAGAAAGTGCCAATAAAACGTCCATCATGTCTGTAACACTATCTTTCTCCGGTTTCTCTTCGTGTTCCAGAAGAAGCCTCTCTAACCGCTCATTGAATCCGCTGGAGACGCCTCGAATCTCCTTTTCGAAGAGTGAGATGCCAAGCTTCTTAAGTGGCCTACCTATCATATTTGAAAATAATATTTTCTTTAACAAGCCAATTGTCTTTATCACCGACTCCCTGACCTTCTCTGCCTCACCGTTCTCCTCAGAACAACTCTTCCCCATAAGCAACTTGGAGATGATGTTGGTAGTGAACACCATTGCTTCCTTTCCGATCTCAACATTCTCCTTCTTTCTCGCCTTGTCCATCAGCCTTGCATAAAAACGGGCTAGCTCATCTGCACGGATGCCTCGTGATCGCTCTAGTGCCTGAGTTCCAAACAGATTCATGACCAATATCTTCTTCAGGAACTTGTAATAATCTCCGAAGTCAGAACCTGTCAATGTTTCATGTCCCATCAAGAGAGAATTCTCCAGTGTACGGAAACCACGTGATGAGATATTCACGTCGTGCGTCCTGAAGAGCTCGTAGGCCACAGAGGCCGAAGAGGCCAGGACTAGAGGGACTTTGAAAATACTGAGGTGGAGGAGAGGTCCGTACCTAGATGAGATCTTCTGAAATGCCTTGTGTGGTAGAACAGAAAGGAGAAGGTGAAGATGCCCGATGATCGGCAGAGAAGGAGGGCTTGGAGGCAAGTTGAAGCCATGTTTTGGTTTCTTGAAGAAGAGATAGTAACAAAGGAGCGAGAAGAAGCATAGGAAGATCAAGATGAAGCTGTTAAGAAAGTCAACGGTGATCATTGCTGCTGCCATTGGTTCTCAATGGAATGCTAGTCCATTTTAAAGGATATATTATATAACGACACAGGTTTGTAATCAGATTACTTGAGTAAATAGTGTTCACTGTCTAAAGTGGCAGACAACTAAGGTTCCATATATTAGCATTTTATATTGTCACTAACCTTGTTAAATGCATAGTTTATAGTAGTAGATATAATGGACGAAGCACTGAGCTGCGCAAGGAATCACTTGGGGTCCCTGGCAAAGAGTGCTATAGTCCCCACCTTTATAGGCATATACATAAGCAGTTGTAAACAGGTAAAAATACCTATCTTAGCTCAGAAATAATATTTTTTTTTTACTTAGAAATTTTGGTTGCAAGAGAATATATCTCTTTCTACGAACAAGAAGAAGGTCCCGATGAGACACTGCTCAAGTTTTCAAAGATTCACTGCAATATTTGCCAGGTATATTACATCAAAGAGCTTATTAATATGAGTCTAACTCACAACCCAAAAACTATCTCAAATCAAAACTAGAAGATTACAAGATATAGTATATCAAAGAGCATATATATAAGTGATGCGGCAATCAAGATATATTTTCTTGCAAGTTGTAACCACGATTTATTATACGGAGGTATGTACAATTGCTTCTGTATATGCGTAGAGAGGTTGGGACTAGCACTCTTTGCCAGGGATTCCAAGTGATTCCTTGTGGAACTCAGTGCTTCGTCCATTATATGTATACCAGTGTAAACTATGCATTTAACAAGGTTAGTTACTATATAAAATGCTAATTTATGAAAATATTATAGGGCAATTCTTTAAAATAGTCATCTTTTAAGTTTTTATCACAAAAATAGACTTCAAAATTAAAATGACCAAAATAGCACTTTTTTGTTTTGAAAATTTTAAGTTTTCTTAATTTTTTTAAAATCGAAACCCTATCCCCAAAACCCCACCCCGCAACTTTAAACAAAAAAATCTAGGATTAGTTAACCCAAGGGGTATAAATGTATATTTAATAAAACATTTAAATGTTATTTTAGTCATTTTAATTGTTAAGATCTATATTTGTGATAAAAAAAATTTTAGGTCTATTCTAATCATTTTCTCAATATATTATATCCACATATGAACATTACATTATTTTCTCAAATTTTAACAGTTAATCTGATTTACAAGTGTTGAAAGGAACATGTACCTTTATATAATGTATCATATTGTAAATGGACTAGACTTCAGTTGAGCAACAATTGCAGCAGCAATGATCACCGTTGACTTTCTAAACTGCTTCATCTTGATCTTCCTATGCTTCTTCTCGCTCCTTTGTTACTATCTCTTCTTCAAGAAACCAAAACATGGCTTCAACTTGCCTCCAAGCCCTCCGTCTCTGCCGATCATCGGGCATCTTCACCTTCTCCTTTCTGTTCTACCACACAAGGCTTTTCAGAAGATATCATCTAGGTACGGTCCTCTCCTCCACCTCCGGATATTCAATGTCCCATTATGCCTTGTCTCCTCGGCCTCTGTGGCCTACGAGATCTTCAGGACGCACGACGTGAATGTCTCATCCCGTGGTGTCCGTACGTTGGAGAATTCTCTCTTTTTCGGACATGAAACATTCGCAGGCGCTCCCTTTGGAGATTATTTCAAGTTCGCGAAGAAGCTCCTGGTCATGAATCTGTTGGGTACTCAGGCCCTGGAGCGGTCACGAGGCATATGTGCAGATGAGATAGAGCGTTTTTACGCGAGGCTGATGGACAAGGCGAGAAAAAAGGAGAGTGTTGAAATCGGGAAAGAAGCAATGGTGCTCACTAACAACATCATCTCCAAGTTGCTCATTGGGAGGAGTTGTTCTGAAGAGAACGGTGAGGCAGAGAAGGTGAGGGA